TAATATATTCAACTTTAAAATATTGTGAACAATATTTATTGACAAATAAAATTCATTTTTATAAGAGTGGATGATAGCCACATTGGTTATGACAAAAGCTTTGCTTAAAGCACTTTGTGTTTTGTTTTGGTGTTGGGAAATATTTAACATATTTAAAATACAGTGACAAATAAATCGTAGGGAAGAATCAAGCAATACTTTGACAACTTTCAAAAATCATTTTGACTTTTCGCAACGCGCGCGTCATCTTATTGAACTACAAGGTTTGTTAACAATATATTTAAAGCATACGAACTGCACATCATTTTTAAATAAATAAGTAGTTTTTTCACTAGTCTTACTCGACAAATTTTGTTTGCAAAGTTTTATTTGCTCAGATAAATCGCGCACGTTATTTGGGTTTCGCGTTGCAAGTTAAAACCTTAAAACTTTGGTTTACCCGATTTTGATTTATTATTTATGATATTAACATTGATTAAAAAACTTAACGCTTATATTCTTAGGTATATAGTTACGTTAGTGTTTGTATTTTATTAAAGTGATCATGGTGAATTATTGTGTTTTTAATTGTAAATGTAATTCAATAACTAAATCGTTGCCAAAGGATCCAATTGGGTACGTATATTTGTTGGTGCAGAATTAACTAATGATAACTGTACCTAATATAATTTATATTTAAGTTTGGACATTTTTAAGAAATCTCACAAAAAATAATAGTTGTACTGTCCTGTACTTAATATAATACCCGCTTTTAATTTTTTTACCATTGAGTGGAGACTATTTGTTGGTGCAGAATTTCTCAATCAACGCTTTTAATAATGCATAACGCTGTTTAAATTTAGGCGACTTATTTAAAGAGGAATCGCACTTCTTTACATATAGGTACTTAATATTATTAATCTCAGATTGATAATATTAAGTATATTAACAGATTAATAATCTGTCCGTTCTTTTACAAAATATAAACACAAAGGGATATTTTTTCTGTTAAAATGTAAAATTACATTTGGCGAACTGATATGTCGGAGTCAGTGTTTCAAACATATAAAGGGTGTCTAGTTTAGTTTAGTTTATTTATTTTTTCCAATAATACAATATTACATTGTGTTGGACAAGTCAAAGTCAAAGAATGAATGTATACAAAAAAAAATTAATTAATCATTGAAAAAATCACTAACTGAGTAAAATGTTTTAGACAAAAGATATAATTTGAGTTGGTATTTAAAAATTCTAACATTTCCTAAATCTTTAAGATTAGTAGGTAACCTATTAAATATTTTTGGCCCTATAAAATCAGGTGCATTTTTGCAAAGGCTAAGCCTGGCATATGGTATATGCAAATCGGAATGTTGCCTAGTATTATGGGTATGATAATCGTTATTTTTGTAAAAATTACTTTTATTTTTAAAAATATAAACGCAGATTTCAAAAATAAATACAAATGGTAAAGTAAGAATTCCATTAGTTTTAAAAACAACCTTACAGCTGTGTGATTTTGATAAACCAAAAATACACCGTAGGGCTTTTTTCTGGGCGATGAAGATATCCTGTGCCAGAGTGGACATTCCCCAAAAACATACACCATATCTGAGACGGGACTCAATTTGAGCGTAATATAAGTTAATCAATTGATTTTTCGATAACACGACTTTTAAATTATGAAATAAAAATATAATTGAATTAATTTTTTTTATAATTTGCTCACAATGAAGTTTAAAATTTATATTTTTATCAATATGAACTCCTAAAAATTTTGTACTATCCCCTGTATTAATTTCTGAGTTATCAAGAAAAAAAGATATAGGTTTACATTCCCTTTGTCTAGCATGAAACTGTATAATTTGTGTTTTACTTGAGTTAAGACATAATGAATGAGAGTTAAAAAATTGTGATATTAAATTTAAGGCATTATTGGATTTATTTTGAATGGTTTTATTGTTTGAGTCTGAAATAAGAATGGAAAGATCATCGGCATACATGGTAAAGAATTCATTTTTTAATATTAAATCGACTTGGTTTACATATAGAACAAAAAGAATTGGACCTAAAATTGTTCCCTGGGGAACTCCTCGCTCCAGTGCCAACTTATTTGAATTTACACTTTTGAGACAGTTATTGTTTAAGTATTGAACAAAGACGTACTGAGTGCGGTTTTCTAAAAACGATCGTATCCAAGATAAACAAACACCTCTTACGCCGATGTCGTAAAGTTTTGTTAACAGTAAATCGTGGTCGACGCAGTCGAAAGCCCGACTCAAATCGCAAAAGATTCCAACCGGGCATTCGCCTTCATCCAAACATTTAACAATTTTATTATAGAAAGCATTAATTGCTGTAGATGTAGAGTGCTTAGAACGAAAACCGTGTTGGTTTTTGCTTAAGATATTATTTTGATGTAGAAAACTTAAAAGTCTGTCTAAAAAGGCATATTCGGAAATTTTTGTCCACTTAAGAGTGCTCTAACTTTAAAATGAAATAAAAAACAAACTACACTTAAGATATTAGGAAAAAATATATTTATTTAAAAAAACATCCTATGGCATTAATTATGAAAAATAACATATTTCAAATGCCCCCGCGGCTGCGCTCCACAGCGCGCATTCTGCAGGTCCAATTTTCTATCACTTTTTCTCACATTTCGGGTTCGATTTCATTCATTATACGAGTAATGTTGGCCTTCAGGGTTTCAATTGTTCGTGGCTTATTCAAGTACACAAGGGACTTTACTACGCCACGTTCGTCTTCAAAAAAGTACGGTCCAATAACACCAGCCGCCCAGAATGCGCACCACACTGTCACTTTTTCCGGCTTACTTGGGTTACTGATCGCCTCAAATTCGGCAGTTTTGTTTGTTTACATAGCCGTTCAGCCAAAAATGCGCTTAGTCGCTGGAAATGACTTTTTTCCAAAAGCGGGATCGGTCGCCAACTGCTCTAGAGCCCATTCGGCAAATGTGCCGCGGCGTAGTTCGTGGTATTACGGCTTTAGTTCTTGCGTCAATTGAATCTTATATGGATAAAATTTTAGGTCCCGACGCAGAATAGTCCAAGTTGAACTCTTCGAAATGCCAGCTTCTTGCCCACGTCGACGAATCGACTGTCTCGGATTCTCAAGCAAGCTCTCACCGTGAGAGTCTCACGAACAACGGCAATATTTTCAATTGTTCTGACCGTTCGTTGACGTATGGGTGTTGCTTGGTCGCGCACTGAACCAGTTGTTCTAAATTTATTTATGAGGTGGCGAATAGTTGACTCTGCAGGACGTTCATGCTGACCATAAATCGCACGCAATGCTCGAAACGTTTGGCGAATTGAACATTGATTTTGTTGGTAAATTTGAATAATTTGAATGCGTTGAGCAACCGTGTAACGCTCCATTATCAAATGTCATAATATGCCAACAAAACTTCAAAATATTTGACAGCTGTGTCTGTACTGACTTAGCCATAGCCGCCTATCAAAGATCGAGCGTACCTAATTGGACACCCTATATATTGTTTAACCTTCCAAAAAGAAAATTGTCTAGTTTTCATCTGATTTCTAGGTAGAAATCAAGAAAAGGTATTGAGTCCGGCCAGTTACTTGTTAAAAATATTTAGACATCCAAAATCCAGACAAAGTCTTTCTTATTTGCTAGTAATAATTATCTAGTTGGTTAATGAAGTTATAATGAATAATAATTAATTTTAAACCATAAATTATAAGGAACTGGTACCTAACTCAGTGGGCAAAGTTTATTATCAAAGGTAACGGGTTTAAACCAGGACCAGGACCAAAAAGCATATAATAAATTTAAATCAAATTTAATTTGAAATTTATTTAAATTTATTGAATAAAGGTTTCTATAATTGTGTTATTTAAATGGCTATAGTTGCTATAGGTGTAATATTTTTGCACAATTTATTTGGTATACACCAACTGAAACAAATGTAAGTGTATCATAAAAACACCGTTTTAACCCTAGAATACTGTTGTACGTAAAAATTACGTATAATTAAAAACACTCCCCCGCCAAATCGAAACCGATTGAGCCTTCCACTCCAGCGGCCAGCAGTGCTATCTGTTAAGTTTATGCATCATCTCAAAAGGGAATTAGTTTGATTTGGCGTGCGTATATGATCGTATCAACCGCTAATATTAAAGTCAGCACGTAAAATTTACGTGTGTTGGAAACAGAAAATGAGAGGGAAGAAGGTAAAGCACAAGAAAGAGTGGAAAATCAAAAAGGCCCAAAAAAATATTGCCATATATGCCCATCAGCAAAAAAAAAAATGACCTCAACGTACTGCATATAGTGTATAAAACCAATGTGTGGCGAACACGCAAATAAAATGTGCCCCAAGTGCTTAACTTAAACTATATTTGTTATTTATATAAGTAATAATTTTTAATGTGACTTATAATTTATTTGTTTTTAACTAATGAAAGGTTTATTTTACTTTTTTGCCTTTTAATGAAATATTATTAAAATACTTTCATAATTTAACTTGAACTTTGCTACGTACGTAAATTTTACGTATCAACAGTATTACGTGACATAAAATAGCAACAGTATTCTAGGGTTAATATAATTGTTTTTGTCATATATTTAATACTGAGCCTACGTTATTAAATACACTATAAAGTTTGTACGAGTTCATATTTTTAATATACTTATTATCTTTTTAATTCTATTTGCTTACTTAAGGGTTGATATAAATATTATTTTAATTAAAATAATATTAAAACTTGCTATATCTTCGACCAGCTAGCCGTTTTCATAACTTCTAACATTTATATCCTGGCGCTTTACGTCGATATCTATAATTTACAGTGTCACTAAATTAATTTAGAAATTGTTTTGTTAGATTATAAATAAATTTATCTGCAAGGAATGAAAATTATCCTTCGGCATTTCTAATGTCAGCCTACAAATTGAAAAAATATTGGAATTACTCTTTATAAATGTAATAAATAAAATGAAAGCGTGAGTATTTTTTCCATCAAATCATCAAAACTCACCACTGCTTCTCGTTCGGCATTAATCATGAGCGACGTCATGACCATGTCCGTTTTACGGTTAACAAGGTCGGCTATCAAGCCGTTCCATTTGCCGTTCTCGTTGGTGCCCCAGCGGCGGTCCTCCACGCGCACCAGCTCGTACGTGAAGCCCAACTCTTCCGAGAACTTTTGTAACAAATCGATGCAGAATCCGGAACAACACTGGTAGTAACTGCCGTTGCGGTGGGCTTCCGCCATGTCAACCCTTAAAACAAGAAAAGCATAAGTTAGCAATGTAGTGAACTTTTAATTTATTTACACAGTTTGTACAATATAGTATATATTAGTATATATTACACAGTACAACACAATTTCCCTCCCATGAAAAATTTTAGCAGATTTTGAAAATAGAGGTAAAAAAAACGTACCCGTGTCTCACAGTTTCACGAGATCACGTCATAAAAAAATTTTAAGCCGTCATTCCTATTATTTATGCTTATACAGATTGTACATTTTTTACTCGGTTAAAAATATATTTTTTTGTAAATATTGTATGTTTTTACACAATACAAAAAACAAATTTAAAAAAGTTTATATTTTGATTTTTTTTAAATAATTTTTTTTATTTTTTTTTTAATGAAACACATTTTTGTATTTATCTTATATTCAATACATGTTGGAATAAAATCTTGGTCGTTTAGTTTGACGATTATACAGCTCGTTCAGACTAAAACCGAATATATCTATATATATATGGGGCGTGGCCTCGCCTCCCTCCAACGCGCGACACAGTAGCTAAGCAAATAGACTGCATCGCTAATGAGATTTTTTGCATTATTATCATTTAATTTTTTAAGTCCTTACCTGCTCGACCTTTCGTCATGTCGTTTATCACACAAGCAACTGTGACGCGCCTTGGAGGGAGGCGATATATTCGGTTTTATTCTGAACAGGCTGTATATTGCTTCAGAATCTCGAACAATTGACCAGCAATATTCACCCAGCAAATGCCTGACGTATTTTCCCTTGAAGCGTTTTTCAATTGTTAAAATGTCTTGGTGAAAACGTTCGCCATGTTCGTCACTAAAATCGCCCAAATTTGGTGGAAAATAGTCCAAATGAGCATGGAGAAAATGTATTTTCAGTGACATATGTACTTTCATGTCCTGTGTTATAAAATGTACTTTATAACCCGAACTACAGGGAATAAATTCAGATTCCATCTCGGAAAAAATGGTTGTACTGGGTGTTAAAGATCTTTTACTTTTATCCTCACATATGTTTTCTGAAGGAGCAGTTGGATAATCTTCAGATCGCACTCTTGCGAGAATGACGGATTCTACATCGGCGTAATCAATTTTCTCTCTAGTATTGGTCCGAAATCCAAAACTTTTTAATTTTGACATGCAGAAATAACATTGGTCAGATGCGTGTTCGGTACGTCGCGACGGGTCGAAGCCAAATTGTTGGTACAACATATTTCATACTGTGTGTTTTATCTTGCAATCCATGCAAACAACGGTAACAATATTCGCATAAAACCTCTGGTACATACCATAAGTTTGGTATATACGTCACCAAAAAATAGTCTTCAAAAGCTGTTGCTACACTTTTTATAATATTTCGCATATGGCTTGGAGGTGCAAATAAACCACATACATAACAAAAATTATTTCGATTCGGACACTGCATTTTTACTTTGATTTCAAATGGATGGTTAAGTCAACAATCAAAATTAATATGAAAAATTTATCGATTTATCGCTGCAATAATGTTTTTATTTAACATTTAAAAAAAAAGTATTACCCTCGTATAAAGATTGTTTTGAAAACAATGCTTTTTATGTATAAATGCCGCAGATGTGTAAATTTTTTGTTTTTTTGCTGTTTCAATTGACTTCGTATACTTAAATACTTTTTTTACTTAAATTAAATATGTTTTAGGTACATTTGCTTTAAGACTTAAATCAATTCATTTAAATATCCTTTAATTTTTTTTAAAAATGTTAATTCAACAAAGCTCAATTTTTACAAAAAATTGAATAAATAAAAATTTTAATTACCCGACTTTAAAGCATTTTGATTGGCTTAAAATTGAAACATTTTGTTACTTGGTTTAAAAATAAACCGTTTGATATATATATATAAATGTGCAAAACTCTGTATAAGATTAAAATAATTTTAAAATGCATCTATAATGGTTACCTATCCATTTAGTAAATATATATTTTTTTAACTATGCAGTCCAGCTGTTATCGAGTCTATTAAATTATGTCGCGAATAGTGTGAATAACATTTTATTGGATGGCCCTTAAAAAAAAATTATGACGTGATGTGAAAAAACGCCGAGACACGGGTATCATTTTTTTAACTCTATTTTTAGAATCTGTAGAAATTTTTCATGGGAGGGACCAAAAATCAAATTTTGTCGTACTGTGTTATATAATATTTGTGGGGTATAGAAGCAAAACTGTCAATTTTCTAATACAACGTTAAATTTTTTTTAAGGTTTCTTCTAATTTATTTTTATTTTGACATACAAATTACTTTTAAAATAAAATGCTAATTACTTCACTAATATTAAAATAATTAAGTTTTTAAGTTTATAGATTGCCAGTTTTACACTTGGAGATAGCCGCTTTTGCTAAAAAAAATATTTTAAAAATTTGAAAAAAATACACATACCTACAATATTTTTATTAAAAAAAAAGAAACAATTTTAATACATTAGTAATTCTTTAAACAAAGGTTTTAATATAACCTAAACTTAAAAAAATAATAAATTGTTAATGTAATATTTAGGATTATTATATATGGGTTGTTTTCAAAAAAACACCCGCCTTCCGCTGTCCGTAAGTTTGAATTCCAATAACTTTGTTAAAAAATTATCGGATCTCATTGATTTAAAAACCAAGTGAAAACCTAACAAGCCCTTAGTATACTCTTTCAGAAAATGTTTGTTTAGTTATTTCAGAATAATTTTTTTTTAATTTTGAAACTTGTGTAACACACATTTTCAAATGTCCCATTAGCGTTTTATAAAACATACATACATGTTTTTTTTTTAAATATCGAATAACCAGAACTTTGTGTTGCTTTATAGCAATCCATAACATCCTTAGTTAATACAGTAAACAATTTATATATAAAATAATTAATTTTAATATACCTACTTTTTTTAAATTTGACTTATGTCCCAGACAGTTTTTCCGTCGCGTTACCGATAGAATATTAAAAAACATATACATAGCAACTTTTTTGACACTCACGTGATCCACAAATGATGTTCGGACGTACACATTACCCAGCTGAATTTATTTATTCAATCAGGAATAAGATATCGGTTGAAACAGGTGCGGGTAACGCGAATGTAATAATTGTTTGTCCGCTAAGTTACTCAAAAAAATAATAAAAATAAGGTAAGAAAAAATACTATTTTTCATGATTATGTTTATTTTAGGGCACCAAAGCTCATTGAGAGTAATTAATGACTGTAATGTATTATTATTATTTTTCAAATATGGTTTCACAAAACTTTGTCCACTGCGTTACCGAGTCCATTATGTTACCTTATGGTAACGCATTGGAATTTAGGGTAACGCAATATAATTTTTCAACAACAAAGTGGATATTTACCGTCGCTTTTATTAAAAATAGTTTATGATAAACCAATCTAAAATTAGAAAGAATTGAACCTACACTTCGCCAAAGTTTTTTGTTTTGAATGCGTTCCACCAACTTCAAATACCGACAGATAGCTGTTTCGACCTTTATTGGGTCTCATCAGTGTCGGGCAACTTGGTGTAGTGGAACACAATCAAAACAAATTACTCCCTGAGCTTATATGCTCGGTTGTTAAGTCAACAGAGTCGAGATGTAAGAACATCAGGTGATCCACACCGTCAAACGACGTGGCCTTTGCCGCAATCGGTACATACTATGCAACCAGGACTGCACACAGCAATTGTATCACAGATACTAATATGGCCTAAAGGAATCTAGAATTAACCCAAACGGGCTAAACATTAAGGTAAACATTCAATTTTCTTAGTTTCTTTAAGAAACTTTCTTGACCCATCACTGGTAATATTCTTATGAATATTACCAGTGATGGCTCAAGAAAGTTTCTTAAAGAAACTAGAAAATTGAATGTTTACCTCAATCTAAAATTATTTCTGATTACAACTCATGATATAGATTACATCCAAGGGAAAATTCCACGCAATATACAAGTACTAAAAGGGACCTTCACCAGCTTATAGTCAAAGAAAAAGGGTGTCTACAATTTAGAAATCTAAGTTGTTATTCTGCAAGTGAGCAAAACTACAAGGGATTTTGTTTATGTATTACTCTAAAATCGTACCACCCTTTATAGTTTCTTTTTTACGTTATCTGATTAAGTCCGTTGTTACTTTTTTTTGTTAAAAAAAAAATACTTAGAATGATTTTTATACACTATCACTTGGTAATAGGTGTTTATAAATTAGAGTTTAACTCACTTATACAGTGACTAAAAGAAAATACTAATGGTATTGTTTTTTTAACAAAGAATCGGAATGGTTTCTTTTTAAACGTATCTTAACATACATATTTAAAAAAAGCATATAATTTTTAATAAAAAATAAAATAAAAAATTGGAGGCAGAAGTTTGTGAACTAAGTACATTTTATTTAAAATTATTTTTATAACAACTTTTATTATTGAATTAAATTTTGGATTTCAAATTGGTAACACAGTGGAGATATATAAACTAGCTAAACACATTTTTCTGAAAAAAAACAAAAAAAAATTAAAAAGTGCACTGCCTGTTTTAAATGTAAGTAAACAAAACTCTAAACATTTATAAAAATTCAACCAAAAGTCAATTTAAGCAAATAAAAATGTGCCATGAAAACAAAATGTTGTATGCAATTCCGTCAAGAAGTGTCTTTTTGTGCTTCGCTCATTGTAGCGTCGGCCTTCAAACTTTTAGCTTAGGCTCAAAAGGACCGACTTTTTAACCTAATCACATAAAAAAGTATTATATTTCCTTTAACAATAAATTTAACTAAAAAATATTATTACATAATGCAAAAATAACTACGGTGGTCAAATATTATAGATTTCAAAAAATGAAGTAAAATTTGCAGAAATCTAAAAGTGGTAAATGCGCTTACTCAAAAATAGAACTCTTAGAACACAAAAAATCAGCAAGAATTTTATAGTTTTTTTTAATCACTCCACTATACATGTTGTATATGGAATAGTTTAATGAATTCAAGTTTAA